TAAAATTCATTAATCTGCTGTATTATTATTATTATTCAATCATTTCTTTCTGATCTCTTTCAAATCAATTCTTTTGATAAAATCTTCAAACACAGACTTCATCAGTGACTTGGTGAGCTCATCAGCTATGTTTGCTGTAGAATCAACATGTTTCATCATAATTTTCTCTTTTTCAATCAAATTGTGAAGAATATGATATCTAATCTCAATGTGATATAATCTTCATATTAAGAATTCCCTCTTTGCTAGATCAATTACTCTCTTATTATCAACTCATAGATGTGAGCATATTTTCACTTTTTCATTATTTATTAACTCAGTGTCATATAACATATCATTCAATCAGATTATCTCACAAGCTGTCTCACTAGCTGTAATATATTTAGCTTCTGTGATTGATTTGATAATAGATATCTGTCTCTGTAATCATCATGAGATCAGTGACCTGTTAATTAATATAACATAGCTGATAGTTAATTTGTATTGAGAATTCACTCTCACTCAGTCTGAATCACAGTATGTCACAGAACTCAGATCATCTTCTATCTCCTTCTTATACAATATATTATGGTTTTTCATCTTCTTAACATAACATAGAACATGCTTCAACACTGCTTAACATGCCTTGTGTAAACATAAGTTAAAATATGAGAGATAGTTAACTGTGAACATCAGATCTGACTGACTGCTTGAGATTAAATATTGCAATAATCTTAATTCTTGATAATATCTCATAGCTATAAAGTTATCATTCAATTCTTCTTTCTCATCAGGTGAGAATTTCAGTCATATATCAGCTATTATCAGAGTGTCAGCTGGATTTATCTTATTCATACTGAAATCTTCAAGAATCTTCTCAATATAATGACTCTGTGTAATCACTAGATTGTCATTTCTCTGATATTTAATCTTTATCTTAAGATATAACTTAGTCTCTTTAACATTCTTTGTCTCAAATCTCTTTGCAATCTCTCTTAATACTCAGTCTAATTACTGTTCTTGAGGTCTCATCACCTGATAATTATTAACATGTAATATCAGATAGATTTTGTGAACAGAGTGATATAGAAATTCACTGTTATAAGATAATATTTTGAATTTCAATGTAGTCAGATACTTCATTACAAGGAAATATCATACTCTTACAGCTTGCTTCATTTTATATAGACTCTGACAGAGTAATCTCATCAAGCTCTCTCTATCATGCTTAACACCTGTGAATAGTTATATATAGATCATCTCATTCTGTGATAGTATATCATTCAAAAACATGAATATATAGTTAATTGATTTGATCTTTCATTCTTTGACAGTTGATATAGTGAATAGACTGTGTAATGTAGACTCTGATATCACTGCAGTATATAATCTTGTATAATGAATACTCTGCTATTATAAGAACTCTCTAATCACTCAGTGAGCTCTAAAGCAGATGATTTCTTTCTTATTATTGAATTTTCAATCATATACTCATTTATCTGTAAGAATATTCATTTCTGAGATCTTTTTAACAATAATATATATCTTCTTCTATTCAAATATCTTAATCTTCTTTTTCATTGTCTTATATTAATAGTTTCAGTCTGAGCTTCTCTTGACTTTTATCAGTGTAGTTAATCAGTCTGTCAGAATACTTAGAACAGAATCATTCTCATTAATAAGATTTTCAGACTCTTCATTTATAACAAGCTATATCTTATTATCTAGAAGATAGATTGAATTAATTACACTCTCTAAGTTCTCATTTACAATCATCTTCAAAATATCTGACTTTTTCTTTATTAGATGTTATAGTAAGCAGTGCTGCTATCTCTCTCTGACATTCAGAATGTTTAATTCATCAGATAATTCATTGAATTCTCTCACTGTATTTACAGATGTATTTGCACTCATGTCAAAAGCTTTATTAAATATAATATTTCATACAATCTCAAGACAACATGCAACAGAATCTCACACATGATATTAATATAATTCTTGATATTCAACTAACTGTCATTCTCTGCTATCAGTTCTATTTATAAGCTTATTCAACACTTTCAAATTCTTCTTATAGATCTTGCATTCTTATCTTCATATTCAATGAACAGAAGATTGCATCTCAGTTCATACTTTAAAAGATATAAGTGATGTTTCTTTCTTACATTTAAATATCTTTATTAATATTAAGAATGTGTTGATTATTATAATCATGACTTATATTACTTTATCTCAAAGTTCTCTTTCTAATTTACTATTAAATAGTAGGCTTTACATCTTTTCTATAACTATTCAATTCATGTGTTTCACTGAGTCATTTAATTGTGATGTGTCAGATGTAGTTATTTTATATATTATTTCTTTACTCTGACAGTAGGTTTTAAGTTCTTGACTTTTGAACTCTTCTTTCTCATCTCAGTGTAGAGTTTTAACTCAATATTGTATAGTTATCTCAATATCTGTGATGAAATTTATTAATCTTATAGTAGATTCTCTCTTTCTTATTATAAGAATTACTCATCTATAACAGATTATATTATTTATTATACTTAATCAGTAGCTTGCACTCCCTCTAGTGAGAGTGTCATTCTCATTGAAAAGTGTTTTTTCACTCTCTATCAGATTAATAAAGAATCTCATTATCAGCTTAACAGCTTATATTATAGATATGAAGATTGAATGTGTTATTTTTATCTGAATACAGACTTTGCAGAATGATAAAGCTTGTTAATTAATAATTCTCATCTCTAAATATAAATCTGCTATTATTTTTACAATATCTGTAAGATTTAAATATTCTAGCTTTTAATATCATTGTATTATTATAAGTTCTATAATCTTTGTATCATTTCTTTCAGATAGTATTAATATTATATCATCTTTCATCTGTAATATATTCACAGATTCAAAATCATTATTAAGTATAATAAATCAGATTAAGTCTCTGTATATAATCAGTCTTTTCATCTTATAGATATCATTCTCATTTAATCTTGCTATAAATGAGAATATATAATTAGAAGATATAATCAACATAGCATGATTATTCTTATATATTAACTACTTATAGATATAACTTTAATATACAAGCTTACTTATACTCATAAGATTCACTTCTAACTTCAGAACATAGTAGATATTATTTAACAGTATATTTATCTCTTTCACTGAAATCTTTGTATCTTCTATAGCTGCAGCAGAGATTATTATTCTGTCTACTATTTTCAATATTACTTTCATCTTCTGAGGTTTTGTCATAATAAGATCTCTGTGAGATGTGATATAAGTATCTGATTCAGAGTCTAGAATTCAGATATCTTTTTCTGTCTGATCACTTATATAGATCTTTTCTTTAATACAAAATACTTGCTTTATAATATTATAAATAGAAGTAGTATCTGTATTCTCTGCATTCTTATCTTTATTCTTATTTCTATTTATATTGAAGTTTGAAGAATATTTCTTAAAGTATTTCTTTTAACAGTCAGTCTGAATATAATTAATCTTTTAATAATAATAGCAAATTCTTATATTATTATTTCTATATTCAGGTTTGAATTCAGTATTCTTATTCTTATTATTATCTTTCTCTTTATTCTTATCTTTCTTATTCTTATCTTATATATTATTGATAGAATTTCTAGATATATCAGTATTTACTTTATTCACAGTAGAGAGCTGTAAAAGAATATCATAGTATAGATCTATAAAATCATTCTCTAAGAGTTAAGTATTATTTTTATCAATTTAATTTATTTAATTTCTTATGAATAAGACTTAATCTCTATTGACTTCTATAAGCAGTCTGTTAAAAAATATAATATCTGAAATCTTATATTTTAGACAGATATAATCAGTTCTTATAATAATTAAATATTTAATAAAAGTGTGATCTGAGTCTTTTAACTTAGTAGTTATATTAATTAGTTTCTTAAATAAATAGATTCTATGAATAATAGATCTCTCAGAAAAGTTATTCTCTATAATAGTTTATAGAGTATAAGTAAACAACTTGAATTTCTTAAGTATAGTGAAATAAGTCTTAATCTGTGAGATAATTGCAGATTATATATAATTATATAATCAAAGATTATATTCTTTTCAGAAATATTATATATTTATAATAGCATTCTTATTAAGACTATTATCTTCAAGAATATTATCAGTTTCAGACTGTTCTACAGTTAAAAGAATTTTCTCTTTTTATATTAAGTAGTTAATAAATTTAGTAAGAATTATTAATCTTTTAATAAATCTTACTTAGCTTCTAAATTCTTCAAGAACTTTTATTATAATAGATGTCTTTTCTTTTTATTAAAGATATTCTATCAGATCTGTTTTTATTTTATTATCTACAGAGTTATCTCTACTAATCTTCATCTACTCAATCTTATACTGAAGTCTTATAATTTTAAGTCTTATATAAGTCTTCTCACTCACTGAGTTATTATTATTTCAATCATTTAAGCTCTCTGTATTATCTAATATCTTACTGATATCTTTAATCAGATTTTTGTATATATTGAACTCATCAGACTATTCTTCTGTAATAGTTTCATTCAACTTAAATATCTCTGAGATAGTTACTTTTCAGTTTATTACAGATATTAATAAGCTCATACTCAATTCTTCTTATACTTTAGATATTTATGAATTTCTTCTTCTACACATTGATATGTAATTCTTTGTTAAGTCAGACTTTTCACCTGATCTCAGATTCATCATGAGTTCAATTAATTAATAAATCATCTAGGCATGCTTGTAATGATACATGAAGATGTCAATTTAGCACATTATTGCAGTTATTCATTGCTTATGAAGGGCTTCATAACCTCTTGAAGAATAACATTGTTGTGTTGTGTGTGTGTAATCTATCTACACGAGTTACACTAAATGGATAGGTTGGGGTGGCACGTGACTAGGGTAGGTGTAGTAATCACCAACAGTAGGTGTAGTAATCACCAACAAAAAATGCGGCTGAGGGCATGATGACACATCCATTATGTAATCAGCCCACTGACTTCCTGAAATTTCAGCGCAAGGAAATTCCGTTTCCTTTTTTCTCTCTCTCTCCAACATAAAACTCACCCCTTCATATTCACTCTTCCTTCCTTCTAAATGGATTGGCGGAGGGGAAATTGGAGGGAAGATAATGGAGACCGCTGGTTACTTACCCCGAATGTTCAACCTTGCACCATGGAGCAATTTGGAAATATTTGCAGCGATACATTCCTCTTTTTACTTGTTATTTGTGACTAAAAAATAATCGAAAGACACTGTTTGCAACCAAATTTTACATTGTCAGCAGAGGTTTCTGTTTTACGTTTTCACTAAAATTCATGATTCCTAATATCCAATACCGCTGTGACGAGGTCTCCGGCTACAACGGATGGCCTTGCTTCTCCGTTCATCGAATCAATCCATCCCAACCCTGCCCGGTCAACCCATGCAGCCTTCATTCCTACATTAATCGCGCCCATTACGTCGAAAGGATTGCCGCTAATAAGCCACATTTCGTTCATTTGCGATATTTCCTTGCCAATGCTATCAGCTAAATGCCGATACGTCTCTGGCGCCGGTTTGAATTTCTTGGTGGGATCGACGGACACGATATTGCGGAACATGCCGGCGTACGGTGCCAATTCCTTGGATCGTGCGACTGAATTTGAGATCATAGAGGCTGTTCCGTTGGAAAACACGACTGGGATCAACTTCCGGTCATCCACCAGGCTCGCTAGACATGGTATGGTGTCTGGAAAGACAGATAGTGAATCGTAGCTGTCCATAAGCTCTTCTGTGGAGTCCTGGTCAAGATCGACTTGATGCTCAGCTAGCGCATGCCGCAATGAGTTTCGGGTCACTTCTGAGAATGGTTTATACTGCCCTACAAGTGTGCGTAAGCGTTACTATTTTAACTAGTTACTGTCCTGCCAGTAGTGTTATGTAAGGCAAGAGTAAATACCCATGCTATTTAGCCTCCAAGTGTATTCGAGCTGATACCGTCTCCAGAGAGCTGCGATGGACTTTCCCTCTTCAGGGCCAAAATGCTGGGCCAACTTGTGTGCAATGGATTCGGTAGATAGCAGTGTGCCGTAGAGGTCGAACGCAAGCACGATGCCTTTTGACGAGGCCATATTTCACAAGGTTCCAGTTAGCTATACGAAATAGCCAACCTTATTTGCCGATGTGCTGATGTTGATAGAGAAGGATGCTGATTGCTCGTAAATGTTTGCGTCCTTAGGCTAGCCGGTCATGAGGAGTGAACCGGCAACCTTATTTATGTTCCGAAACCTGTTCTGTGTGGTAAATATTTAGTTCCAAAACCACCCAAGAAGTAAATAGTCTCGGCTGCCTGCTCCAGACAGCCACCGCAAACGAAGGTAGAATAAAAATTATATGGCCGAGGAATCAAGTCACCTAGCCTAAAGTACGCACCAATGGACAGTAATGCGGCCGTGCATAATCCCAACTACGAAACCTTCAGAGAATTTGTCTCCCAAGCTCTTATTCACAGAGATGCAAGAAAAGCCCCAAAGACTCCCCTCCGGCGGAAAAAGAAAGTGTCTGCGCAACCCGGTGATTCAGAGAAGCCTCTCTCGACCGAACTCGAAGCCAATGATCCAGAAGAGCTAGCAAAATTCATTGATGTATGCACCCAATCTTCCAAAACGACATATTTTACCTCCCAAAACGACCTTAACTTGGCAGCCTAGTAGTATATTGCAGGAGAAACATTCAACTCCCTGCCAGAGGAAGTTCAATCACTCTCCTATGCGACTGTTCAAAGCAACAGTGGTCTTGCAGACAAATACGTTGACCCACTACCACTCTCAACGCTCGACAGATTAACCGCAACGGTGCCGTTATCAGTATCTGAATCACTCTCTGTCTACGGCCTCATACCAGACCCATCTGACTTCCCAACATTCTTGAACCCAATTCTCACCGGGTATATCTCTGTTGTGCAGGCCGGTCCGCCCAACTGGCCCAGTACGCGGGCCTCGGCATGCGAAATATGTGAACGCGATTGGATCCCCTTAACATACCACCATCTAATACCGCGAGAGGTACATGCCAAAGTGCTCAAGAGGAAGTGGCATGAGGAATGGATGTTGAACAGTGTCGCCTGGCTTTGCAGAGCTTGCCATTCCTTCGTTCACAAGATGGCTTCTAATGAAGAGCTGGCAAAGGAGTGGTATACTGTTGAGCGGATTTTGCAAAGGGAGGATGTCCAGGGCTGGGCAAAATGGGTCGCTAGAATCCGGTGGAAAGCAAAATGAGCAATAAGGTGGTTTTATGCATCTATTGCTATATTCTTTACCCTTTGTGAAGATTGCTCATTTCAGCTTTATTAAAGGGGAAAGAATATAACTAAACATTTACTTTGTTCCACTCAAACATACCTTGGGTTTCTTTGCTATATGATTTGACTATATATGCTATATGAGCCCCTTTTCCCCCAACTTTAATATGGCACTTTTGTTTGAGCAAAAGTGACCATCATTCAAAATAGTCTACTTAAGGGGGCAACGCATCTTGTTTATTGCATGTGTTGAGTTAAGGGGATTTGCCACTTCTCTCCTGATGCTCTCATAACACCCTCTTTCAATCTACCTTTTCTTTCAAATAACAGATATTGAAGCTCTACTATTAGCAGATGATGACAGTCATTGCTATAGATGAATGAATGATTGCAAACCACACATTTCATTTTCATTCAGCTTCAAGCATGCTTTGAATACCTCTCATTGTTCACTGACAGTGTCAATGCTGCCTGGGAATGAATAACACTCACCAATTGTCCTACATTTCAACAACCATCTGTGGGCTTCTCAATCAATGGAACTACTCCTATTCATAACATTGACAACTACGAATTGGGACAATTTTGGGATTCACTTCACCTTATTTTCTCCTCTGCTCTCTCCATCCTTATCATTCCCCCCTTGCTGTCGTCCTTCGTTTCTTCATTATCTCATGACTTACGTTCAAAACTCACCATCTCCTCTAAAAAATTTGCCTGGTATCCATTTATTTGTTCCCTAAAAACAAAATTGGCTGGCTTAACAACACTCTGTCGCATTGCAGGCTGCAGACTGCCGTTCCTTTATAAACCTGAGGCCTCTACCTCCGTGCGAGTACCAGGTGGTCCGCCTGTGAGAACGCGTCGTTGACCATACCACCAAATCTACTTGATCCTTGTGACCACAGTACGACTTTGGTAGACACTGTTGTGCCTTTTCGGGCCTCTGCAAAATGGAAGATCACCACGTGAGTTGATGAATACCATCCAGCCTACCAGCTGGCTAGCACTTGGCCTCTTTCATCGTTCCTCAGAGATCTAACTGGCGAGACATTCTTTCTCTCTGAAAATAGAACACTTTATTCATTAAAGTCTACCTTTCGCATGCCAATCGTGTCATCTCCGGCTATGTCGCAGAGGAGAGATTTGACAAAATACGGCGAGCAAAGATAGAAATGCAGATCCTAGCCGAGATTGAGAAATCAATGTTCCCTATGGCACTACGTATTGCCTGGGTTTCTATGGTATGTGTTGTGATCTGGAGAAGCACCGCTTACTTCCTTAACCCTCTAGATTTACTCTGACAATTTTGGAAGGTCGTTCATACCAACACGTTTGACATATACTGGCTTGGCCAGCAAGACCTACACAAGCTACCTAAAAGTGCCATCAGACGTATTGAGCCTGATGTGTCTCTTGCCGACAAACTTATATCACCATCGCCATCGCCTTCTCAGTCGTCATCTCGAGAACCCTCTCCTTTACATTCCGGAGAGGAATCTATAGCATTATCCGATTCGGAGACATCTCCAGGGAGCGACGCAGCCAACCCAAATCCCCAAGATCCAGAAGCTCCTCCAACCACCCCAACGAAACCTACAACTTCTAAAAGGAGAGGGACTGGCACTGCGGCAAAGAAGCCGGCCGGCGTCCGCAAGACCCGTACTCCTCCAAAGAAAAAGCTATTTCCAGCTACAGTGGAAGAATTAGAAAAGTCAACCAACATCACCCCGCCGGAGGAAGAGAAAACCGATAGCAAATCTGCCGTTATAAACCAAGAAGTCCTTTATTCTACTGATAAAGCCACACCATCTCCATTAGAAACAGCATTGAAAGCTTCCGAAATCGCCGCTCCAGCTGGGGCTCTAAAGAACGGCCAGACCGCGAGCACAAGTGGCAGAGGCAGAAAGCAAAAGAACGTGCGTTTTGACCTCCCTGATAATTGAGCGTAGAATATAGAATCCCGTGATGACGCCTGGAAATGTTAACACTAAGGTCTTTCGCCAAATCACACAGGCGGCGCACCAAACTGAAGCTTCCAAGGCACCGGCTGCTGCACCAGCGGGATTGGGGAAGGGGAAAGGCAAGGGGGGGGGCAAACACCCTTAGCGCGGAAATTTTTATGTTGCAGAGCCGGATGTGTAGGTATGTAATGGAATGTAGAATTTCTATGAGTATTTGCTGGCTTTGAAGGGAGAGGAATGATAAATAGAGGGGTATCAAGCGTTGCTAAACTCTGTGTGGGAGCAATAGAAAGAAATGGTTGTATTGTTAGATCGCCGTAGACTTTGTAGATCGCCGTAGACTTTGTTCTTCTGCTTTCCATGCGTCCATGCATGCTCCCTTTTTTCTTACTTTGTTGGGATTTTTAATTTATTTAGTTGGGTTTTGCGAACCATTGAGGTTGATTGATATGAGCGATGCGTGGATATAGCAATCAATCACCATTGTATGTTTCCATTAACTATTAAGCCAGTTTGGCTTCCTCATTTTGTTTTGTGGATTTTTTTCCACTCCCTTTGGGGGCCTATTTCAAATCGCATTTAGGAGCCATCGGGAACTTTACGTTTACTTTCTTAAATCTCGTGTTTCCAGAGTGGTAGGCAAGTAGCTAAAAGACAGCCGCCCTCCCAACTCTCAAAATCTTGATATACAGAAAGAAACCCCGTTCTTTTTATTTTATCCTAATGAAACCCTATAAATATCTATCTAGCAGATCCCAGCCGATCTTATCATGATTACACATACATATCAACGGTCCCCATCCAGCTAAGAAAATCAAAAATACCTATCCCCCATTTTTTAGATGTCAAAACATCCATGCAAATGCAATGCCGTTGAAAGCAAATAGAAACACCGGCCTGGTAATGTTGGTGAGAGTAAGAGATACAACGGGACTGGGGTTAGAGAGGGGAGTTGGATCGACGTACAGAGGGTTTAGAGGAGTAGAAAAAGTGCGAGGGTATTTAAGGCGGCAGATTCATCGGCGAATGACGGATGAATATTACCTACTCTCTCCGAAGAAGAGCGAACGTCGAAATTCATATAAGACAAACATAGAAAGCAGAATGAAGTGAGATATCGTACAAAAAAGTAATAAAAAAGAAAAGTTCAAGAAACGACGCGCGTCGGAGTGTGGGGTCGTGTGAGGAATATGGGAGCGAGAAGAGAGTCCATTAATTTTCCCCGTTCATATATATCATAGGGTTCGCTTTTCGGACTTTTCTTCGTAGCATTGGACATGGTCGCCGACTCTAAAGTCGTTCCAGTTCTCAAAGGCAATGCCACATTCAGTGCCCTTACGCATCTCGGTGACGTCCTTCTTGACGTTCTTGAGAGACGTGATTGTACCTAGCAAGAAATAAAGTTAGCATCATATGTAGCAAGTGAGTGTTCCTAGTGTCACTGGATAACATATACGGAAAATTGAAAGGGGAAGAAGTAGAGCAACTAAAACTAACCATCGTAAATGACTTCCTTGTCACGGAGAACCCGCGCTTTATGTGAGCGACTGATCATGCCGTTCCGAACTTTGGAGCCTGCAATGGCAACCTTTGTGCGACCCTTGCCTGATATTTCGAAAATTTGGCCGATCTCAGCCTCTCCAGTGACGTGTTGGGTGATCGTGGGCGGCAGGTGCTCGCTAAGTTTCGCCTTGACATCATCAATTAACTCATAAATGATGTTGTGGTTCATGATCTTAACCCCATCGGATTCTGCCATTCGAGCCATTGATGGATCCACAGGCATGTTGAAAGTGATGATGTGACCCTTCGCAACGGCGGCATGTTGGATGTCAAATTCGCCAATCGGCCCTACACCAGACCGTAGAATGCGAGCGTATACCTCGCTGTTGCCAAGCGCAGAGACTGAATTGACCACTGCCTCGGCGGACCCTGATACATCAGCTTTGATGAGGAAAGGTACGCCCTTTGGACCAGAATCAGCTTCAGCACCGGCTTGGGCTCTTTCGTCCTCCTTAGCTTGCAGCTCCTGCCTTCGTCTTTCAAGATCTGCCTTTTTAGCTTTGTTAATGGCACCAATGTCCTCGCTCAGTTTCTTTGTCTCGACTTTGCTCAATCTGTACTCGATGACGGACTTAGCATGTTGCTCGCTTGTCGCTTCAAGAACCTCACTTCCAGCTTGAGGCTGTTCCTTCCAACCGTCAACCTCCACTGGAGTGCCGGGGAGAGCTTCGCTAATAACCACTCCAGCTTCATTTTTCAAAGTGCGGACTTTAGCCCAAGTAGTGCCTGCGACAATGACATCACCAGATTTTAGAGTTCCCCGTTTTACGAGAACAGTAGCTACACGGCCACCTTTCTTTGTAGTTGCTTCGATAACCCAACCTTCAACATTTCCATCTCTCTCAGCCCTGTGATCAAGCATTTCTGACAGTGTTATCGTAGCTTCTTCCAGGTCAACCATGCCTTTTCCGGTTTTCCCACTGACACATATGGCTTGGACATCGCCACCAATATCTTCAACATGAACGTTGTGACGAGCAAGATCTTGTTTTACTCTTTCGACGTTGATGTCCGGCTTATCGACTTTATTAATGGCAACAATGATCGGAACGTTGGCCTCCTTGGCATGCTTGATAGCTTCGATGGTCTGAGGCTTAACACTGTCATCGGCAGCAACAACAAGGATGACAATGTCCGTTACATTGGCACCCCGTCGACGCATATCGAGGAAAGCGGCGTGACCTGGTGTGTCTAAAAAGGTAATAACTTTACCGGACGGCATTGTCACAGAAAACGCGCCAATATGCTGAGTGATCCCTCCATGCTCAGTTGCTACCACAGACGATTTGCGAAGCCAATCCAAAAGGGTAGTTTTTCCATGGTCAACATGGCCCATAATGGTGACGACTGGAGGCCGCGGTGATAAATTTGTAGTATCCTGCGGTGGTGGGGCAGCCACCAGATCATTGCCAGTATCCTCAATTATAGGGGTGAAATTATATTCCGAGGC